CTCCGCAATGGGAGAGGCCACAACAGTGAGGAGCCCGCGTACCGCCGGGAAAAAAAAAAAAAAAAAGAAAAATACAGCAGTCAGCTTGAGTGTCTACACAATCTCCTCGTCTTCCCTGGTCAGTCAATTCTTATAACCAAGGCTGATTCCTGACCGTGGTGCATGATTTAGAGTCGAGACTGTATGCTAAACAGGACAGGAAATAAGGTGGGTCCTGGAAGCCTTTAATACAGAGTCTGAGAGGTCCGTGTTCACACAGCCAGTAGGAACCTGAAGGAGAATTCTAAGGCAAATAAGGTTAAAGAATCAGATTTTCCCCCATTCACTCCATATGTCTAGAGTTATGTCTGATTTTTTAGAAAAAGAAGATATCTTCACTGGCTAGTAAACTGCCTGTGACATTTTGGTGATTAATAAATTACTTTTTTTGTTAAAGATTACATAGAAAATTGCAGAGCCACTTGCTCGTTTTAACTTATTGAGCTCCTTGTATCAAAAGAGAAAGATGGGGTCCTCTGCGTCTTGTAGTTGTCTGCAGATGCTGCCCCATCTGACTAGTTGCAGTACAAATAATTACAAACTAAATCTAGTTTAACAGGGGGTCATGGAAGGCACATCCACCACTTGTGTGATGCTAAACATTTTCAATGATTCTTGATGCCGGGATTTCCTCATCTCTAAATCAGAGATGACCACATTTTTCCGAAAATTGTTATAAAGGTTAAATAAATAAATAAATATGTATATATAATACATACATATATTATAAATATATATATAACCTCTTTAATTTCATTTAATCCCACATATATGTAACATGCCACATCATACCATGCTCAGTAATGAAAGTCACGGTGCCATGCTTTTCCCCATATGTTGGTGTTCAATGAAAAACCTCATCTACAGGATAACAAAGTAATACCAATTTGTAACTGAATATTTTGCAATATAAGATCCATGGTTTATGACGTCTGAGTGATTTTTAAAGTAAGATGTATAAAAATAACATACATCTTTACTACCTATAAGCAAGTTCTCTTTTGTGGATTAGGAACTCTTTATAATTCACAAAGAGAAAACATCCTTAATTTTGGTGGGCCCGAGAACATCAGGTCAGTTGGACTGAGCAGGTCAGTGCTTCTTATATAATTTTGTTTTTATTTTATCGACTGAAATAAGGGTGCTCTCTTGCCCTTTCTACTTCTAAATACCATGCTTAGATTGCATTTCTTGGTTTTTCTTAATGCTTGGTTTAAGCATTAGGTACTGAATTTCTCCTCTGCCCATCCTCATCACATACATGTCAAAAGCCTGTCTCTCTCTCTAGTTTAGATTTTATAACTTTGGTCAGATCAATGATTCTCAAACTTTAGAGTGCCTTAGAATCACTTTGATAGCTTGTGTAAATACAGATTTGTGGGTCCTACTCCCCTCTGATTCAGTAAGGGAGGATCGAGAGAATGTGCATTCCAAACAAATTTCGAGGTGATGTCATGATGTTGTTGGACTGGCCGAGGGACCACACTCTGGGAACCACTGGGTGACATAAACATTTTATCTTCACATTGTAAAACATACGTTATAGCTGAGCCCTGTATATATACCATAGTTGCTTTCTGTTTCTCATCGATATATTTTTGTTCTCCCTAGAGTTAATAATTGTCTTTTCCTCATTTGATTTAGTTTCTATGCACCTATCATTAAGTTATACCCAAATTCTCTCTCAGTGATGTAAATCTCCCAATATGTTCAGATTCATTAGGTATTTTTAAATATCTTTTAAAAAAATAAATATCCCAGGATTTTTTGACATGCCCCAACGTGGACTGACACACACAGCTGCTGTGTTGAACACCCTACTTTCCAGATTTTGTAGCTTTTTAAAAAAGTATCTGAGAATGTCTTTTTTTCTCCCCTTTTATTCCATTGAAAGTTGGTTGACTAAAATTCTAGGTTGAAAGTAATTTCTTTTTGAAAGCATTGTTCCATGGTCCTCTGACTTCCATTGTTGCTACTGGGTAATCTGACATTATCTGATTTCTTGATCCTTTGCAAGAAACCAGTTTTCTTTCTGGAAGTTTTAGAATCTTTTCTTAATATCCAGTCTTTTGAAATTTTTCAGGGGTTCTAGTGTAGGTCTATTTTCATCTATTGTGCTGAGCACGAAATGGGCTCTTCCAATCTGGAAACTCACATCCTACAAGTCTGAGAAACTTTCTCCAGTTATTTCGTGGATAATTTCTTATCTTCTATTTTCTCTGTGCACTTTTTCTGTGACTCCTTTGTGTGTATGATGGACATTCTGGAAAAGTCCAATTTTCTTATCTTTTCTCTCCATTTTCTAACTCTTTATATTTTGGTCCTACATTCTGAGAGATTTCTTCAAATTTACGGGGTTTTTTTCCTCATTTTTAATTCTTAACATCTCTTTCTGGCTCTTCTCTTAATACTTTTTTTGAAGCATCCTGGTTTTGCTTCATGGATGTAATATCTTTTATCTCTTGGAAGGTATTAATATAGGTTTAAAAACTTTTTTTCCCCTGTACTATCTCTGTGTCCTTCCTGTTACTTTATGTGATTTCTGTCTTTTGTAATACAATTTTCCTCAAATATGTGATAATTGTTGACTGTAAATTCTTATTTAAGAGTGGGCTACTGGGGACTTGCCTGGTGGCGCAGTGGTTGAGAGTTCGCCTGCCGATGCGGGGGACACGGGTTCGAGCCCTGATCCGGGAAGATCCCACATGCCGTGGAGCAGCTGGGCCTGTGCGCCACGACTACTGAGCCCGCCCTCTAGAGCCTGAGAGCCACAACTACTGAAGCCCGCGCGCCTAGAGACTGTGCTCCACAACAAGAGAAGCCACCGCAATGAGAAGCCCAAGCATCGCAATGAAGGGTAGCCCCCACTCGCTGCAACTAGAGAAAGCCCTCACGCGCAGCAACGAAGACCCAATGCAGCCAAAAATAAATAAATAAAAAAAAAAAAAAAAAAAAAAAAGAGTGGGCTACTAAAAAGCCGACTGGATGCTTTTGTACCAATAAATAGAGTTGTTTGTCTCTCACTAAACCCTCACTGCCCTGGACCATGGAGCCCTGTCTTCTTCCACCTCTGGAGAAACATGATAACTTATGTGATAGAAAGACAATGAGATTTGATATGAAGATCTGCATGTAGGGTCCTAAATCTCCCCCTTAGAATCTGCATGAGCTTGAACAGATGTCTTGCTTTCTCAGTGTCAATCTGAATGCTTAGAACAGTGTATGGCACATGTCATACATATTTGTGGAATGAACAGATATCCTCAACTGAGAAATGAAGATCATAACACCCTCCTCCTCACTTTGTGGAGTTATTTAAGAGAGTATGTCAAAAAGTCCCTTGAAATTATCAAGTGCTACTCAAATTTCAGAGGTTATTATCAAAGAGATGCTAACGTTTATTGCACAAGTGCAGTACTGTAGGGAGAGTGCTGTACTGGTCAGTTTCACTGCAGGCACATCCTTCATAATACATGTGTAAGTATGAATGCTGTGCTTCTGTAAAATGAGAAGCATTGGGGTTTTTTTTTAGGATAAAAAAGACATAATTTAATTTTTTCATAAAGTATAATTTTAAAAAAAGATTAACCCAGGAAATCATGGTCGTTGGTGTTTGCAGATCAGGAAATAAAATATTTCATCATCACACAAACACCTTATGTATAAACCAGCTTACATAAAAAATGAAATTACTGGGCTTCCCTGGTGGAGCAGTGGTTGAGAGTCTGCCTGCCAATGCAGGGGACACGGGTTCGAGCCCTGGTCTGGGAGGATCCCACATGCCGCGGAGCAACTGGGCCTGTGAGCCACAACTACTGAGCCTGCGCGTCTGGAGCTTGTGCTCCTGCTCCGCAACAAGAGAGGCCGCGATAGTGAGAGGCCCGCGCGCCGTGATGAAGAGTGGCACCCGCTCGCCGCAGCTAGAGAAAGCCCTCGCACAGAAACGAAGACCCAACACAGCCAAAAATAAATAAATAAAATTTTAAAAATGCCCTTATAAAAAAATGAAATTACTTACAGTGTGAAGCCTAGAGTATACTCCATTCTTCGTTGTTCTGATTAGCATAAGCAAACGTACAAGTTCCTTCTTATATCTTGAGAATGAATGATGGATGTTTGAACCACCAGGGTTTCTCCTCATAGCTGAAGCCGTTTTATAGTGTAGAAATTCCTTTTCCATTATTAAGAATGAAAGTCCATTCTCAAGTATATGTGGTCCAACAACTAGCACTCTCAGGATTTGTTGCTTGTCTCTGATTAATACCAACTCCACCTTCTGTTAGCCAGTACCCTCGTGGACCATGCGGAATGGCATTTGTTTTGCAGCTTATATTTAGGACACTTGTTGCAAGGTTAAGAACTACTTCAGAAAATGAAGCTTCTTTAAACAACTCTTTTAACTCTTGATCAGACGTAACCTCCAGTGCATTTATCCTACTATGGCAAAGGGCTTGTGTATACTTTTTCACAGAATCCAGCCCTTCTGGTCCACGAACAAACTTTTGTTACTTCTGCAGCAAGTCGTTTCTGAGGACGCCGATTTTCTGGCTCTGTGACATGCTGCTGCATTATGTCATTAATCTCTGGAAGGGGTGGAAAAGTGAAGCGCTTTTGGTACCTTTCTATTGAATCATCTTGCTGCCTGACGACTGATACAATTCAAAGGGAGGTATCTTAACTCTGTGTAGCCAAACAGCACTGTCAGATGACTTTCATGGTTTTGATCCACTTGTAATTAGGGGAACAGTGATTCCAAATACGTCTTCTCCAGTCATCTTGTGGATGAAATCATACCCGGACATGAGATTGCTTAGCTCATCAGATCCACCCAGCCGGATCAACAGCCATAACGCTGGAACAGGTAGTAGAAGTTATAGGCCCGGAGCATTCAGTATAAGAACTCGTTCATAGGCCTGGAGCATTCAGTATAAGAACTCTTTCGACCTCATGATCTCAGGGCTCTAGTCTCGACGAGTCTGGATGCTCATGCGCAAGCGTCCGCCCACAGCTGCTCGGAAGGGCATAGAGTACTGCGCTGTGAAGCTGCCGGTCGGCTCATCAGCAAAGAAATGCTGATCAGCTGCTGGAGCCCTCTGCGCAGGCGCAATGGCCCCTCCCACCTGCGCAATCGCTTTGTAGGTAAAGGGGCGCAGCTGCGCCAGCAGACGGCCCACAAGAGGCAACAAGTCGGCCGTGGGATGAGGCAACAGTAGATGGTCTGGAGAAAGCTTCCCGCCTTGCCACAGTGGAAGAGCTCTGGCAATTCTATCTTCATACCCCTTTTGGGGGAGAACTTCTTTTTTTTTTTTTGCGGTACGCGGGCCTCTCACTGTTGCGGCCTCTCCCGTTGCGGAGCACAGGCTCCGGACGCGCAGGCTCGGCGGCCATGGCTCACGGGCCCAGCCGCTCCGCGGCATGTGGGAGCTTCCCGGACCGGGGCAGGAACCCGCAGCCCCTGCATTGGCAGGCGGACTCTCAACCACTGCGCCACCAGGGAAGCCCGGGGGAGAACTTCTTGAACAGTCCCCCGGACTCCTGCACCGCCGGCCACCCCTGAGCGCCGGAGTGAGCCTCACGCAGCCCCAGGCGCAAGACTCCTGAAGGGCCTGGGGCTCCAGACCACCTGCCTGAGGAAAAGGACCGCAACATGGGCGCCACCATTTTGGTGGCAGCCAATCAGAAGCAGCCTTGGAATATGTGAACACTCTCCTGTAGAAGAGCAGGTAGGATTCAACAGAGTGGCAGGATGGGGGAAGATAGGTAAATGCACATGTTGGCTTCCTATCAGGAGGAACTCTGTTAGGTAGAACTTTGAATCAAAGAGATGAGCTGTCTTATAGTGGGTAGGCTTCCTGTCCCTGGACAAAGCAGAATTTTCCAGGAACACTGCAAAGGAAAATACCTCCTGGAATGCTGTAAAGGAAATTTCCTGGTAGGGATAGATTACGTCACTAGACTCAAAGTGCTCTAAAACCTTTTTTGTCTTTAAGATCTTCGTTATTACAGAATCACAGATTTTAAAGCTACCATCAACATTCCAAATGCTAGAAAATAGACATAAATGTTCTCAGTCAGATTTACTTGGGATGTTTTATAAACATCTTTTGAAATGAATCAGTAAAGAAACAAACATTCCCAATATGTCTAAATCGTTGGAGCTGATTCTGTCTTCAGAAAATGCAGTTTGATAACTGCTTGGAGAGGTCAAAGTCCCCCGCTTGTAGGACAGTGGCTTCTTCGTTGAGGCCAGTCCTTTATTTGATATTTTCTTAAAGAAATGAAAGGCATTTGGGGAATGCAGACAAGGAGGATGGCGCGCTTCCAGGAAAGAGCACAATTTCTTCCTTGAACGGGCTTGCTGCCCAGAAAACAGGTTGATTCCCATTTTATCTGCAGTGCATCACTCATTTATGTGCAGTGCTGTAGGGCTGCCAGCCTCTGCCTGGATACAGTCTTGTCCCCTGAGAAGGGCTGCATTCATTTGTAACCATCCGATGCTGTTTAGCTGACAAGTCAGCATTTTCATCCTCTTTTACCAAGACCCCAAGAAAAGAAAGTACTGTAAGATCTTCTTTAGCCTTTCAAGGTCGCTTCAGAAGAGAGCTAAAATAAGAAAATATCACTATATTTTCGTTTGAACAGGATTTAAAGGATCAAATAAGCAAGAAATAAAAGAGTGCAGGCTTTAAGGATTGAGTTATATTTTCAGGAAGTGTAAATCAAGGGAGATAATTGCACCTTTTTTCTGCATCTCTCTTGTTGAAATCCAGGTAGAATTGGTGACTAAAAAAAAGGTTACCGAGCTGCAGTGGCTTTGCAGTGTCATTTTCTGACCAATCTCTTCCAGTACCCTGTAGAATAGATACTGCAGTAAAGGGTTATCTAATGGTTTAAAGTTAAGCTTCTATTAATAACTTTGGCTCAGGCCTAAGGTAAGGGGAGAGGGCCCACATAGTTGCAGGTGTCCAATGAATAGTGGTAGAATCTCTCAAGAGCAACAGCAATATGTCTCTCACTGGGAGGTTCCCTAGAGCCCTGTCCTAAGTCCTCATCTACCTTCTACCTAGATGGTATCATCCAATGCCTTGTTTTAAATTCCTATCTGAATATTTCCAAACCTCTGTCTCATGCCCATACTTATTTTAAATTTTAGAAACGTACGTCAACTGAGTAATGAACATTTACATATGAATGGATCAAATGAACTAAAAACTAACCTCTCTTTTGGGGAATAGGGCAGAGGATTGAAAATCTTACTCCTCACTTCATCTCCACTGGGGTTCCCTATACACAATGTATAAGATATATACACAAGGTGGAAAAGCAAATAGGAATCAAAATACTCTTCTACTGTGGATCAGCTATTACCTAACACAGCCTTGCCACAGGACTTAACCCAGCCCTCTCTGTTAAAACTGATTTGGAGTGTATGACTCGAGCTTGGATTCCCTAGTGGGATTTCCTGTTCTTTCTCTGTCCTGAAACTAAAATGGCTAAGTCTTCAGATTAGACCCCAGACTAATTACATGGCCTGCCCCTAACAATTAGACTCAGTCCATATTTGTTTTCCACATGGAGGACCAGGACAAAAGTGGAGGACAGGAAGACTGCATAGGGTTCTGAACTTCATTTTGCACATGTTTTTTCTTCCCATTCAATACCTTTCCTCCACTGCCTGATGAATTTCTAATCATTCATCTTGATTAAGCTTAAATTTCACCTTCTCTGAAAATGCCTTGATATAGCAAGCTTTACTTATCCATTGTGTTCCCATAGCATACTGGTGCTGACACTGTGGCTCTTAGAAATATTCTTTGTCCTTGCTGGTTCTTCTCTGCGTGGTGGGGGACTGGCTTTTCCAGGCTGCATTCTCCAAGCTCCTATATAGCAGCTGAAGCTTGTGGCTGGCATCACTGGCAGGAGATGGGGGATGGGCTCTTCCCTTCCCTCCCTTCATTGAGTGACTTTTCTAGTAGTGAGTATGTTCCTTCAGAGAGTCCTCCCTCTGGACATGCTTGCTTCTGCTCCAGCTCCAAGTGGGGAACCCTAGCTTTGGTAACAACATGGTATGAGTTTCCTGGGGCTGCTGTAACAAATTACTACAAATTTGGTGATTCCCAACAATAGAAATATATTCTCTCCCAGTTCTGGTGGCCAAAAGTCTGAAATTAAGGTTTCAGTAGGGATAAGCTCCTTCCAACAGTTCTTGAAGAGAATTCTTCCTTGTCTCTTCCAGCTTCTGGTGGTTCCAGGTGCTCCTTGGCTTATGGCAGCATTACTCCAATCTGTGCCTCTGTCTTTACATGGTCTTCTTCCCTTCTCTTTCTGCATCTTCTACTCTTGTCTCTTGGAAGAAATTTTTTTTGGATTTAGGGTCCACCTGATTAGTTCAAGATACTCTCATCTCAGGATCTTTAATTACATCTGCAAAGACCTTTTTTCCAAGTAAGATAATATTCACTGGCTCCAGGTATTAGGTTGTGGACATATTTTGGGGGAGGTCTACCATTCAACCCACTACAATCACTTCCTCTCCTTGTTTCTCCCATCTATGATTGGTAGAGGCTGTCTGCTTTAGAAAATCTCTAGGTTATCTTATTGTTCACTCTTTAGCTGCTCAGATCCTGCCTCTTCTGAGTAGCCGGCTACTTACATTTTCTCTGTTATAAATATTTGAAATGGTTATAGTGAGATCCTGATGGATATATGTAGAGATTTTTCTATGTGTCTATTATACACTCATAATACAACATATTGTCATGCTTTGTTTACATGTCTATGTCCCTTGGTATGCTGTATAACCTTTGTTATTTTTCTTCCTGTCCCCAGGACTCAACACAATCCCTAGTTTAGAAAGTTTTCAACAAATAATGGATTATGAAAAATGATCTGAAGATGAAATGAGAAAAATATGCTTAATAGATCTAAAATCTGCAATGAATGTATTATAAAGTGTCCATTGAAACTATTCAAAGAAAATGTGTCCTTCAACACAACAGCATCACTTGGAGAGAAAAATACCTTGATGTGGACAGAGAAATTATTGGCTCTTCAGAGTCCAGGATGGATAATCACCACAAAACAGTGAGTCTGGCAGAATTTTATAAATATTTCTTAACACCTTCTTATCTCTCAGAGTTTCACTCGATAAAATGCTCATTCACGTCAAACGCTTTCCAAACTTCCTCTTTTTACCCGTAGTCAACATTTTCAATAAACAATCTGCTTCTAATTACCACTAATAATTTTAATTGGGGAGTGGGTGTTCTTTATGGATATTATTGTTCAACGTATAATCTTTTCTATAGACTGTTATCTGGACAGTCTTTTAGAATAAGAGTTCTGATGATTTTACTCCCTTTTTAAAAGTCTTCAGTGGTTTTGCATTTTTCACCAAAAAGGTCCAAAGTGGCATTCAAAGCTCTCTTTCGTCCTTGAGCACTCAAATATTCTCTCCTACTGTGCTTGTGTGGATTACTGACATGGTCTTTGGTTCATATACCTTTGCACTTTAATCCTCCACATCTGAGGAAATTTGACAACAGTTCTGCTTGTTTCAACTTTCTGTGTTTTTAAAGCCATTATACCGACCTGGTTAAACCTTGGGAACTAGATAGATTTGGGTTTGAACTCAGATTCTATTTATTGACCACACGTGAACTTGAGAAATTCAGTAATGTCTTGGAACTTTGGTTTTCTCATTTGTAAAATGGAGATTTTCATACCTACCTCAGAGTGTTATTTCTAGGATTAAATGAGAAAATAGATGTGATATCCTTGTCACACAAATTCTTAAAAGATGGTATTATTCTAATCTTCTGTCAAAGACAATTTTCTGATTGAAAGCTTTCCTGATTTTTCAAACATGTTTCTTACTTTAAAATTTGAAAATACATTTTATTTTAGTCCTTTTTTAGTATTTATATTACTCAAAGTTAAATTTATCTTTTAAATCTAACCCACTCACTATATTGAATAGAGTATTTATGATTTACATTTCTCTGTATCCTTTAGAACAATCCTGTGTCTGGCACATAGTAGGCATTCAAAAAAGTGTTGAATTGAATTCATTATCAATCCATTGAGCTGATAAATTGCAGTACGTTCCTGCTCTACGCTCCTTGTTCTGAAGGGCTGTGCTCTACACATTAATCTTAGAATCACAGGGGATGTAGGCCCTGAAGCTGTGGTGTCTCAGTTTCATTATATTAATGAGATAGCTCAGAAGATTGGAAATAGAATGGTATTTAACCATTGATTAGCCATCAGAAGTTTTCTGAGGTGCTGAAGTATATGTTCTATAATTTCAGAAGCACTAATTCATTTTATAAAAGCTGCTTAAGGGTAGGTTTTCCACAAGCATTAATCAGTTGGGTCACTGTTCAGTGTTGAAGCAAACAATAGCCTAAACCACTTGTTTCTTTAATAAGTCCAGGTGGTTTGGAGTCAGGGAATTTAATAAGAATGTGTTATCTATTAATTTATTCACACATAAGAATACTTATCATTTACTCCTTTTATTCACTCATCCATATTTTAAGAACTGAAAACATGGTATTTGAAAGAGAAATTATTTCTCTAGTAGAGCCTATACTATTTCTTTGAGGTATTTTGTTAATATTTAGGATTTTTATTGCTTCGAGTATATACATTTATTACAATGTCACATTTTGTTTAATCTTAATATTCTTTTCCTGAAAATTTTGAGTCATTAATATAATACATGGGTTATTCAATTAGTATTAATATTCCTTTTGTACTCAGGCATATTCATTTCTGTCTTGTGATAACTGAATACTTTTAGTGCTGAGACCACGAGACCCAACCAAATGCCCCAGGGTGCTGATCAGTTGTATAACATCCGATAATATTCCAGCATCCCACACATATAACCTTTGGTTGATGCCCTTGATGTTACCACCACAGTAAGACTGTGCCAGGTGTCCTCTCAGTGGCTTTACTATGGACCCGTTGATGTCTGATGAAGGGTCTGTTGGGGATGAAAGATGTTCTCAGTGACTTGAGTTGTCATAACTAAGTCTTAGCCTTTTCCCAAAAATCTATGGGTTATTATCTTGAAGTCATGTAAATAAGTTGAAATCAGGTCTCAGCAATTGCAGTCACACCCGCACCTTTCTTTTTTACTCTCCTCCAGGGAGAACATTAATGGATTGCCAGAATTTCATTTGCAGAGACACTCAGAATCATCTTAGAGTCATATTTAAGATTTCATTTGATTTACCTTATGGTCATACCTCACTGATAAACTTTAAATGTGATTCATATCGGAAGCTTTTATGCCTTTGAATTCTATCAGTTTGCAGAAATTGATTTTTTTAAACTTAACCAGTGGATTCTTCTTCCTTTTAAAACAGACTTATTGGGATTTGATCTATACACTATAAAATTCAGCCAACGTAAGTGTACAATTCAGTGGTTTAAGTATATCTACATAGTTGTCCAGTCATCAAGTTATAACCTTAGAATATTTTTATAACCCTGGGAAAAAACCTTATACCCATTAGCAGTCCCTCCCCATTCTGTTCAATCTCCACTATCCCTAGGCAAATATTAATCTACTTTCTATTTCTGTGGATTTGCCTATACTGGACATTTCATATAAATGGAATAATGCAGTATGTAGTCTTTCATGACTAACTTCTTTCATTTAGCATAATGTTTTCAAGGTTCATCCCTATTTTAGCTAGTCCTGTGTTTTATTCCTTTTTATTGCCAAATAATATTGCATTGTATGGATAAACGGTATTTTGTTTATCCATTAATAAGTTGATGGACATTTGGGTTGTTCCATTTTTGCCTATCATGAATAATGCTACTATGAACATTTGTG